ACCCCGTCCCTCCTCGCCGCCAAGCCCGACGTCCACATCTTCCCCGTCAGCATCCGCTACACCCCCGCCGACGTCACCACCCCCGTTCCCGGCCGCTGGTTCAAGTTCCTCTGGGATCTTCTTTCTCGCCCGACCACCTGCATCCGCGTCCGCGTCGCCGAGAGCATCCTCAACTCCTCCGCCGCCCAGACCAATGGCGTGTCATCCTCCCACGACACCGGCTCCTCCGCGCAGCGACGTATGGGCGGCGAGCCTACGGGGCTTTCCGCCGAGGAGCAGCGCGTGCTCGACAAGGTCGCCGAGGCTCTGGCCAGACTGTGCCGAAACAAACGCGTGGGCCTGACGTTGAGAGACAAGGCCGCCTTCGTCGAAGCATGGAGCGGAAGGAAAAAGTGAAATCCCTCCGTCACCGCAGTAAACCCAATTACAACACACACAAAAAAGGATGTGCAGGAGAGGCGGCCAGCAGTGATTTAATGACAACTTGTTCGGGTATTTGCATGGCTAGGAGCCGGGGCTGCCTTGAATGCGCCATGTTTCGAAACCACCAACGCACTGGAGGGGGAAGAGATGAAGAAAAGCAGGTCATGAGCGGGCGCCCCGTCTTCTTACAGACGCGCGCCGCTCTGTAATGTCTACGTTTGTACGTTTTTGTTGGCGAGCTTCCATATACCACGATTCCAATTCTTTTCTTCGAGCGCTCTCAGAAATTTGCTCTACACCCCCACACTATACACACACTTCAGTGATGTACAACCACCAGACCACCAGAGACGAACCGTAAACAAAACTCCGATTTTGGACTACCTTTTCCGAAGCCGTACAAGTAAGATGGTATAACAAAGCGTAAATCTCTAGTGGTGGAAGACCGCCCCATTTGCTCCCCCCTGAACCAGACCCGTTCACTTCCCCCCTCTCTCTCTTCTTCTCTACTGCAGCTTGCCGTCCGTAACGCAGCCCGAGGACGCGTCGCTCACGAGCAGAGAGTACTTCTTTAGCGTGCCCTTGCTGTACTTCAGCGGCGGCGCCTTCCACTCCGCCCGTCTCCTCGCCATCTCCTCCTCGGACACATTCGTGTCGATCACGCGCGACTCCGCATCAATCGTAATCACATCCCCGTCCTGCACCAGCCCAATCGGCCCGCCCTCCATGGCCTCTGGCACAATGTGCCCGATCAGGAACCCGTGCGAGCCGCCGGAGAAGCGGCCGTCCGTCAGCAGCGCGACGTCCTTGCCCAGCCCGGCGCCCATGATGGCGGAGCTGGGCTTCAGCATCTCGGGCATGCCGGGGCCGCCCTTGGGGCCCTCGTAGCGGATGATGACGACCGTCTTCTCGCCCTTCTTGATGTCGTTGCGCTCCAGCGACGCGATGAAGTCGTCCTCGTCGTCGTACACGCGCGCCTTGCCCTCGAAGCGCAGGCCCTCCTTGCCCGTGATCTTGCCGACGGAGCCGCCGGGTGCGAGCTGCCCGCGCAGAATCTGGATGTGGCCCGTGGGCTTGATGGGGTTGCTGAAGGGCCGGATGATCTGCTGGCTGTCCGGGAAGCCCTTGACGTTCTCGACGTTCTCCTTCATCGTCTTGCCGGTGACGGTGATGCCCGAGCCGTCGATGAGGCCCTCCTTGAGGAGGAACTGGAGCAGGCCGGGGGTGCCGCCGATGTCGTGCATGTCGGCCATGACGTACTTGCCCGAGGGCTTGAGGTCGGCGAGGAAGGGGGTGCGGTCGGAGACGGCCTGGAAGTCGTCGACAGTAAGCTTGATGCCGACGGAGTCAGCAATAGCAAGCAGATGCAGGACGGCGTTGGTGCTGCCACCAAGAATGTTGACGACGACCATGGCGTTCTCGAAGGCCTGGCGGGTCATGATGTCGCGGGGGCGGATGTCCTCCTTCAGGATGTTGCGGACGGCGGCGCCAATGGTCTCGCACTCGGCCTTCTTGGCGGGGTGCTCGGCGGGGCTGCTCGACGACCCGGGCATGGTCAGGCCGAGGGTCTCGATGGCGGTGGCCATGGTGTTTGCGGTGTACATGCCGCCGCAGGCGCCGCTGCCGGGGCACGCGTTGCGGATGATGTCGAAGCGTTGCTCCTCCGTGATCTCGCCGGTGATGTACTGGCCGTAGGCCTGGAAGGCGGAGACGATGTCGATGGACTCGCCGGCCTTGCTGCAGCCGGGCTGGATGGTGCCGCCGTAGACCATGATGGAGGGGCGGTTGACGCGGCCCATGGCGATGGCGACGCCGGGCATGTTCTTGTCGCAGCCGGGGAGGGAGATGTTGCCGTCGTACCACTGGCCGTTCATGACCGTCTCGATGGAGTCGGCGATGATCTCGCGCGACTGCAGCGAGTAGCGCATGCCCTTGGTGCCCATGGAGATGCCGTCCGAGACGCCGATGGTGTTGAACTGGTAGGGGATCAGGCCGGCCTTGCGGACGGAGTCGCGGACGAGGTTGGACAGGTCGAGCAGGTGCATGTTGCAGGGGTTGCCCTCATACCAGACGGAGGAGATTCCGACCTGGGCCTTGTTCATGTCGTCCTCCGTCAGGCCGGTGGCGTAGAGCATGGCCTGGGAGGCGCCCTGGGACTTGGGCTGGGTGATTGTCGCCGAGACCTTGTTCAACTTGCTGTCGTCGGCGCGACGGGCGGCGGTGGAGGAGAGGAGGCGGCTGGTCCGGGGGGAGTCATTGTCAGCGATTGGGTCTTGTTACAGGGTCAATTGGGTAGCATACGCATGGCTGCTCGCGAAAGAATGCCTCGTCGCAGCTCTGAGAGCTGTCGATCGGCGGGCGATGCACCGGGAGAGCATTGCGTCGAAAAGGGACCGCCGGCCCAATATTCAAGCGAATGCGGAGGAGGAGGGGCGGAGAGGGGAAGAAAAGAGTTGTAAGTCGTGTCGATTGAAGTAAGTCAGGCCTCAATTCATTGCCCGTCCTCTCGACTCGGGATCTTTTTATGGTGGTGTGAGGGTGAGGAGTTGAGTCACGGAAAGGCTGGTGCGGTGTAGAGAAAGACCTGAGATCACAGGGACAGTCACAGGGACACGGCGCACACACGAAGTTGGAGATAGTTTGACCTAGGTCCATACCCGTAGGCCATGTCCCACCCCCCAGGAAATTTGGGGCGATGTCGGCTGCGTAAAATTTCTGGAGCTCCCCGCCGGCGCACTCCCCGCATTGAAATAGGAAATTGCTGATTGGCTGGCCGAGGTGGACACGGTGAGGCCCACGCCGATGGGCCGGTGTAGGAGCTGAGGCGGTGGCCTGTCAAGGTGAGGAGGATGGTGAGCAAGGTGAGCGACAGAGACAAGCATCGGCCAGCCCTGCAGACATAATCGCGGGTTCAACCATGCGTTTTTCCATTCACGTTTCTCATATTCACTCACAATAACTCAATCACATCAAGGCCACACCTGCTGTGCAATTCTCTCACATCCAACTCTAGCTTCCACGTCTTATTTCCGCCAAAGCCCGCTACGCTTCCGGTTCCGGACCAGACCCTCTTTTCAGGCCGAATCCAAGTCCGCGATGTGGGTAATGGCTACCCGGCAACGCGCATACGGCCTCCATAATCCTCATAATCCGATCCCGTAATCGTTTCGTCGGGTGGGTATCCAGAGCATGACGTCTGTTTCAGAGCGTTCTCACAGACAGCGTGACGGCTCATTCAATGTGTGCTTCGCGGCTCTATGGCTTCGTCTTCTGCTCCTCCGCCGACCCCTCCTCCTTCTTGTCCTTCTCCTCCCTGCGCGTCAGGATCTCGTCAATCACGCCAATCTCCTTGGCCTCCTCGGCGGTTAGGTACTTGTCGCGCTCCATCATGTCGTTGACCTCCTCCAGGTTGAACTTTTCGTGCCCAAAGGACTGGTTGATGTGACGCCTCATGATCTCGTTGATTTGTCTGCGGATGCGCTGGATCTGGTTCGCGTAGATGAGGATGTCTGACGCCTGGCCCTGGGTGCCGCCGAGGGGCTGGTGGATCATGACGGAGCTGTGAGGGAGGGCGTAGCGCTTGCCGGCCTCGCCTCCCGTCAGGAGCAGCGCAGCCATGGAAGACGCGGCGCCGAGGCATACTGTCGAGACAGGCGACTTGATGTATGTCATTGTATCGTAGATTGCAAGTCCTAAGTTCGTCAGCCTTGCTCTCCCCGCCGGGCTCGGCCATCTAACCTGACGAGACTGATCCTCCAGGCGAGTTGATATACATCGTGATGGCCTTGTCTGGGCTATCAGACTCGAGCCACAGCAGCTGGGCAACTATTGATGCGGACACCGTGTCGTCGATCGCGCCATTAAGACATACAATTCGTTCCTGCCCGCCGTCAGTCGCCGCTCGCCTCGGAGATTGCGGATTCGTAGGGCCGTACCTGTAGAAGCTTGGAGAAGATGTCGTCTGCCTACTCCGTCAGCGTTGAACTTCAGTCGCGGGTGTTGCAGTACTGACATGTCCTCCAGCCGTTGGACTACTCGATTAGCCATCTCCCCAAATCCAACCATCAAGACCATGTGTTACGAACCGAGACCTCGGTGATGTACGGCAGGGGAATGTTTCCGGCCGGTGGCGAGCTTCCCATCATCGGGGGAACGGGAAAGTTGGTGAATGCCCTCGCATGTCGTCGCAGGGGCGCTGCGGCCCGCAGAGACCGGAACAGGGTGCGCTGGCAGTTCATGTCGGCGCAAAAAGGTTTGCTGCACACACTGAAAAGCAGGTGTTGAAGCTGAAGGAATGGAATGCGACGCGGCTGGCAGCGGCAAGTGGAGGTGACGTTTGTGCGCGCCCAGCTGTGCAGGCGGCGCGGCAGAAGCTTGCTGCTGTGACCCCCCTGCGGGGAACCCCCGAGCTCCGAGCTTCAACGCGCCTCTCGCCTAAAAAATGTCCCGAAGCGTGTAAAGCTGCCCGATTCCCCAAATCCTCAGACGTCATTGTCGCAATTGAGCAACGCAGCATCACCCTGCGCCAAATTCGACGGTTCCCAATGGCTTCCCGCCCAGTAGGGACAGGCGTCGCCATGAACCGTCGCCTCCTCTCCGCCCTCGGCAGTCGTCGAACTATCGCGAACTTCTCCCCCAAAGATCTGGAGCGAATCGCAACGAAGAGGAACGAATTGGCTGCCGACTTCGATCGCGGCCTGGGGGAAGATGGTGAAGGCAACAAGATCAGGCTTGACGCCGAGGAGAAAACGATCAGCACGTCGGTTGGCGAGCTGCCCATGTCACCCCTCATGGATCCAGACTTCGTAGAGACTACCAAGAGGTGGAGGCATCACAAGGGGAGGGCGAATAAAGGCGAAGTCAAGGACCTAAAGGAGAGAGCGAGGAGGAAACTTGAGGAAAATGCATATGGTCTGTTGTGCCCAGCTGGTTTGGGATTTTGTCACGAAGCTAACGAGGTTTCCCAGCTCATGCATTGGCGTCTCCCGCCCGAACATGTCAAGTCTTCAAAAAACGTCTCCCCTCCTACTTCCACCAAAAGTTCAATGCCGTTCAAAACTCGGAAACCGGCAGGTTTTGGGCAATTCCGGAGGACATTGAGTCAGCGGCACCAGAGAACGTTGAGGGCAAAGAGGGGATCGATACAGCAGAGCAAGAGCCGGAAGCTGGGGGAAGAGCGCAAGAGCGGAAACCCATGATGGGGTCACCCTCGGGCTACGTTGTGGCCAGAAAACGGGTTCTCTACAACATGATGCAAAAGCCGGGCTCGGGTCCATATTCTGGAACCTCCAAGGCTGTCTTCGCCAGGCGGGAGAACCTGAAAACCCAAAGGAGCCAGATCGTATGGCGCCAAGACATGGACGAGTTCGTGCTGGAGAATCTGAGGCGTCAAGCGGTCAATACGATCTTGTATTACCTGCGGCTGTCGAAAGACGCTGACCGTGGGTATCTGAGGCCATGTAGCTTCCGGGACGTCCACGAAATGCAGAAGCGTGGGTGTCTGCTGTGGATGCCACCAAACGAAGACGGCCCAGAGTCTTTGGAGCAATTTGCTACTTTTGACGTCCCGGACGTCAAGTGGGAGAAGAAGCTGGCCGTCCATGACCTCAACCAACTGCTGGGACCCGAACACATGGCGACTTTAAGGCAGTATTCCTTGTTCAAGGACAACTCGCTGATCCTGTTGGGCAAGCGACGGTCAATAGCTCTGCAGCTTGTGCTCTGGAAGCTACAGGGATATTTGGCAGAATTCCCTCAAGATTTCTGGGAAACTCCTTCGAAGACACAGCTGTCCAAAGAGGCTGGTCCAGCAACAGCAAAGAACGAGGGGCTAATGAAGAAAAGTCGAGATGGCAGGGGTTTCTCGCGAAGAGATGCGCCGGGAGGGAAGCCATCAGCAGGAGACCACTCCGAAGGACGAGGAAAGAGACCGCAAGCTGAAAGGGGTCATCTCAGAAGAGGCCCGTTGGATGGGAACGCCCCAAGACGCGGCATGTGTACACGAAGCACGGATTCCGCGGCAGAGACTAAAGAGAGCCAGCCCTCGAAGGAGAAATCGAAGAAAGGCTCGAAAAACAAAGCCGCCGTGTCTAAAAAGGACAAAGCCAAAGGGCGCGATCCCACAGAGGACGAACCGAAGAAAGTCTCAAAAAGAAACCCCAAGGGTGTCGATTTATCTAAATTGGACGAAGCTGACAGGGAAGCGATAAACGCAATTCTCGAAAAGAAACACCAGCGAGCACGGGAAGCGACGGAGGAATTAGCTACACACAAGAGGCTGCACAGAGATATTGAGAGGGGCAGGTGGTCCGATGAATGAGCATATTCAAGTTGGGGATGACAAGTTCACAACACGCACGAATGCATTTGGCCTGACCGCCCAACATTCCCATCTCACCTCTCTAAGCATCTCTGCGTCATTTTGGGAAGACGCGAACCCAGTCAGGGGAGGTCATGTTCTACAGTGTGCTTTGATAGAGCCCACTGCTTCCACGGCCACATGCGAGCTAGAAATTGTTTCGAGACTTACTTAATGGAAAGGTGTGCGTGATCACAGGTCTGCGGATGTCTACGAAAAGCTTCCCACGACAGTAACATTGCGGGCATCTGACCCAAGACGCAGCGTAACCTCCTCTCCCTTGAACTCCGTCGCCGCACCACCAACCGTAACATTCTTCAGCTGACGACCCTCCGGCACCCTCATCTTGACTCTCACCTCCGTCGGGGGCGCCTTATCAAAGCCCAAAGTCGTGGTGACAGTGCTCGCCTTCTCGTCCAGCTGCATATCCAGATCGACGAGTCCCCATTTCGTCGGGGCCCTCTGCACCGCGACTTTGCCCTCACTGAGCCACTTCCTCGGCACGCCCCGTCCAACCAACAAGGCGTCGTCGTCCGGGTGGTCCAGCAGCAGCGCGGCTCTCAGCAGGATGGGGATGGTGAACTCGGAGGGCTGGCAGTACGTGCTCGAACCGCCCCCGGTGCCGGCGACCTCGGCGGCGAGCCACAAGCCGCGGTTGTGCACGTGGTATCGGTGGGTGTACAGGAACAGCACGAACTCGTCGATGCGGTCCTGGAGTAGGAGGCTCAACGCGTAGCCGTACGAGATGAAGCCCAGAATATCTCGCGTGTCGGACTTCAAGGGCGTCACGTTCGCCACGACACCCAGACTCGTGATGCCATACGCCCGCATCGAGTCAATCACCATGTCTGTCTGGTTCGGCGAAAGAACAGACGCCTGCAGCAGCTCCGAGTAGACACGGTGAGGCCACCACTGCGACGACGCGTCCCCCTTCTCCGCCAGGTCTTCCAGCACGTGCGTCGTCTCGTTCGGGAGCACAGGGACATAGGGCGGGGTGAGGTTGCGCTGGATCCATCTATCAAGAGTCACCGCTGTCTGGTTAACCAGCTTATCCGCGCGCTCGTTCCAGTCCTTAGCCTGCTCCGCGAACGCCTCAATCTTGCTCAGATCCCGCAACCCGCGCGCGGCGAAGGCAGCATTATTCCAGTACGGCTTCTCAAACCGCCACGCGTCGCTCCGCAGCGCCGCATCGGACTCGCTCCAGCCTGAGATGAGGCCGTAGTACGGGTCCGTCGCCGGCAGCTTCAGGTTCTCGTCCTGGCGCGTCGTGAGCATGCCCACCCACGCGAGGATCTTGGCCTTGTACTTGTCCACAAAGGCCGCGTCGCCGGTGTACTGCACGTAGCGCGCGATCAGGGACAGCGACAGGCCGAACTGCGGTACCGCGGGCCCGCGCATCTTGATCGCGCCGTCGTCGTAGACGTACCAGTCCATGTAATTCTCCAGCACAGCCTTGGCCTGGTCAAAACGGCCCCACGCGAGGTTCGCCGTGAGCGAGCTGGTTAGGATGTCCTGGAACCCGTCGTACTCCGAGCCGCCGTAGTCGCGCTCGAAGGCGCCGTAGCGCGGGGACACGCCGCCGCCGCGGTTGACGAGCTCCGCTGCGAAGGCGTGCTTGCCCATGTCTGCCCAGGTCTCGTCGGGCAGGGTGAGGGATAGGCCGTCCTTGACGTGGGAGGTCCAGTAGTCCGTGAAGCGGATGAGCGCCGGGTAGAAGTCGTTGGCGGTGGGGTGTGCCTTCAGGGGTAGGAATTGCTTGTAGTCCAGGGCGAACTTGTGGGCGCGGACGACGCCGCCCTTGATGTACGTCATGGAGAACCAGACGTGGACGATCTCCGGGTCGGGCGAGTCGACGTCGGCGAAGGCGGTGATGTCGACCCAGTCGGTCGCGTCGTTGAGGCCGCGGTAGATCTTGCGGCACGCGGGCATCCAGCCGCTGAGCAGCCCGTCAAAGCTGTAGTTAGAGTGCGTGCCATCCGCGGCCTCGAGCAGGTCGTTCCACGGGGCGTAGTTTTTCGTCGTGGACTGCCAGTCCAGCGCCATGGTGTCGTTCGCCTGGACGTTGCCGAGGTACGTGTCCCACGGCAGGAAGGACAGGTCGATGACGTCGCGGACATGCGTCTCGACAGGCTCGCCATCCTTGAGGAGGCGCTCCGCCAGGACGTCGTTCTGCTTGAGATTCACATCGTTGGCGGGGTCGAGACCAAAGTACGCGTCAACGGTCCTGTTGAGCGAGACGGCCTCGTCGCTCGAGGCCTCGACGTAGCGCTTGATTTCGCGGCGTGTACCGGAAGCTGAGATCAGAACGAGAGGGCCGTCAAAGCGCGTGAGGTCTTCGTAGGCCGTCCATGTCTCGCTGTTGTAAGTGAAGGTATCGATGGCGGTGAGGCCGTCGGCCGTCTTCTCCTGGCGCGGGTTCAGATGGTCCAGGGTGGGCGCGCTGAAAAGCTCAAAAGAATCATGTCTAACTAGTTGCGGCACCTCATGGTAAGGCGTGGGGTGCTTGACGTCGCCTCTGCCAGCCAGAGCTGTGATGACGAAAGAAGAAAAAACGAATGACTTTAAGAATTGTCGAGGCATGTTTGGTACCTGTGCCCGTCAGGAATTGTAAAGGGCCGAAATGTCGATACTACCTGGGAATCAACCTTATGCCATGGAACTCATCGCTTCATGTAGTTTTTGAGGTCTTTCATTGTGAGATGAAGGGGCGACGATAGTTCGTTGGTGTCTGGCCATGTACGAGTTGAACAGGGGTGTACCTGAGTCGAGTCATTACACTAAAGAAGGTTAATTGATTGTTTGTAATTGGGCAGGAGAGTTTTGCTCACTTTGCTCTGGTAACTGCACAGAGATCCCGCAGTAAACGAAGTTGAAGGGCGATAGGAAGAACTCTGGAAGGTGGTATCGGATTCGGCATCCGGGGCGACCAAGAAGCTCTCGCGCGCGCTTGGCCGTCCGTGCCGACTTCCAAAGCCGCGCCCTACAATGACCTCGCTCAAGAACTTTCCTTAGGGGCTAACTACTAGATTCAGTATTCGGTTGTCTCGGCAAATATCTTAACTTACAGTGAAATTGCAACTACCCCTGTAAGGCAGACAAGCCGTATCCAGTTATCCATCCGGTTGTTCCGGCCGGATGGGAAACCAAAAAGGAACACATGCACTTTCGACAGACATACTGCGTAGCCGTGAAATTGGCGGCTCACAAAAGGACTATTGAAGGCTGAATTAGCGGCGAATAGTCAACGGCACGGTGCTGCGAGTTCTGATCGCAACAGTGTTCTCGGTGTTTTCGAATTTGGCATTGCAAACATTTTTCATCAAATCGAACATCCATCCTTTGTGCAAGTTGCCCAAGCTGAAAAGGATTCTGCCTTTGTATGATATCTGATGGACCACAAGGTTGTTTGCTCAAAGAACACGTCATCGGTGTCTTTTCGAACTTCCATGCGAAACAGTGAGCCACTTTGTTCTCAGAAACTCTAGCACAAGATATCAGAAATGAGGCAAATTTGTCATCAAACAGAATACCAATGTCAGAGTTTATGAGGACCAGGTTTTCAACTGTTCGTCTGAATATGACACATTTGTATCCTCTGAATCCTTTTGTGGTGTTTGTCTCCGCTGTATGAGACGATTGGGGAATTTCCTCAGTCGCAAGGCCACAAAACACCTGATCACAGAACCAACACAAGCATCAGGTGAACCTGCGAGATTCCCCACTGCGTATCGCTTATGGACTTCTGTGATTTCTAATTGGTCTTGTTGGTTCTGTTGGTCTTGTTGAACCCCTAGGAATCTTGCACATTACCCCGCTTGACCTCCCGCAATACCTGACTCCTCCTGCCCTCATCATAATTGGCGACCATCTTCAACATGAGATGGCACGCACCCACCTGTCATCAGCCGGACGTACATGTCGCAGATGATGGCTTCCCATTTTGCAGAGGATGCGGCAAGTCAGCACAAGAGATGCGACACCTTCGCGAGGATACGCACTCCTCATTGGAACTGCTGCCTCCAGACGAACCGGAAAGACGTCTCAATCTATGGTGGCCACCTTCGGTGCAATGTACGTCAAATGATGGCACAAAGTCCGACATCCCAGAAGCTTCAGTAGTGCCGCCAGTTTCCCCAGCAAGCCATGGAAATCAAATCTACGAGAGACCCTTGATGCCGAACGAGTTCCGACTCGCGTGTATTTCTGCAATGCCTAGCAAATCCTATACCACATACCCAATTCACCTTTCATTCGAAGTTTTCGAGGACGACCATTATCCCGATTACGACACAGTCTCCTACGCCTGGGCTGGCTAGACTTCATTTGCATCAACCAATCCGACATGAACGAGAAAACCAAGCAAATTTTGAAGATGGGTCATATATACTCCCATTGCAACCAAGTCTTCTTATGGCTTGGACAAGACGCTGTGTCTCATGACCAAGCCGGTCTACCGTCTCGCCGTCCTCTCGAATATCTTCAAGGCCTCCATCAGATTCTCTTGCGAAACTACTTTACTCGAGTGTGGGTCATTCAAGAGCTGGTTCTGTCACCTCGCATCAGCATGCCTTATGGTAGCAACGTTTTTAAGGTGTACCCTCAAAGCCTCGAGAACATGGCAGAAAACCTGACAACATCCCCGGCGCCATGGCTCAATCTTGCCATGCGAGCGTTATCACACAATCATTCTTGGACAGAGGTCATGAGGATGACCTCGCAGTCAAAATGTTCAGACGCTCGAGACAGTTTGTACGGTGTACTCGGGCTGTGGACATCCGGCGGCAGTTTGCCTGTCCCAAGTTACGCAATTTCCTACCAGCACATGATGATAGGCATGTTCGCCTGGCTTCTGATCCATGAGCACGATCTTAACGTTCTACTTGCTGCAAAATGTATTTCCTTCGCAGAGTATGAAGACCCCTTACCGTCATGGATACCACCTTGGAGGACGCACGACTTTTGGCAGTGGTTCATCAACGTTTCTTCGAGGAATCAGGTTAAGCCCCCCGGTTTGACTTTCCCTGCCAAGTACATGACGTACAACAACGGGGAACTCGGCCCACCATACGGCCGACCCTGGCATCAGTCTCGGATCACAGTCGACCACAACACTGGCGCACTCTCGTTGGTCGCAATCAAGATACACGTCATGCAATTTGATTTGCAAAAGCGAGACACCGACCCTAGCGATAATGTGTGGTCATCACGGTGCTGTCTTCATGTCCAGACTTCCAAACACATAGCCGGTATTGTCAAAGAGGGTGATGAAATATACCTGCTTAGTCCAGCTACTTCTGGGTGGCAAGACAAGCACGAACCACTAGTTTATCTCTTCTTACGGAAGGTTGCGAATCGAATGCACAAGCTTGTTCTGTGTGAGCCAATGGTTTACTTCAAACGTTGTCCGGTGTGGGAGTCGCTGGAAGAAACGCGAGTCGACCGGGCACTGGCGGTAGACGAGCTTCAAGAACTCTGGCATCGTCCAATGTACAAGTTTGACGAAGACATGTCCACTGGTGGATTCCTTGGTCGAGGTCTACAAAGAACGTTTCCAGGAAATGACGACACTCCGTTTCATGTCTTGCTGGCGGTCATCTTAAGCAGCAATGATGTCCAATGGCCGCTGGACAACAGCGTCTCACGCAGCTATGATGTCCAACAGCTGCTAGACAACGACGCCGCCCGGGGGTTTGACGCCAAAATCATGACGAACGAAAAATTGGTAAGATGTGGAAAACCGGTTTCCTATCTCACATTCAAATACAGCAAATCTTACTGGGAAGATGTTGAAGCTCTTCACGCCATGGACAAATACCGGCCGCTTGATGAAGGAATGCATTTCCAGTGCAACGACGATCCTCCCGAGAGTGAGGACTGGAACCCTATCTACGCTCACAGATGTTGGGATCTCCCTGAAAGATTTGGGCATAAGGAGGTGATGTACGTCGAATGTGAACTTCCCCACGTCCACGAACTTCTTCTCAGAATAGACCGCGAACTATGTATCACCAGTATCTGGAGGTCCATTGGTATTCGCAATCCCAAGGGATCCTCAGGGGAATTGCTCCATGCGAGGGCTGTTTATCCTAGCACGATGGATCCCTGAAATCTCAAGACAGATGATGAACATAAACGACATCATAGCATTTTCCGCGTTGGTAATAGTGTTGTGGTGGGGTTAGAGTCGCGAATTCACATAATTTGATACGAGACGAGACTGAAATACGATTTTGCACCCTTAACACACAACCTGTCAAGTCAAAGGTAGGCTCAATGCGAAAACGAAGAGCTGCCACCTGAGCTGAAGTGAGCTTTCAGATTACGACTCTCGAATTCTTTCGTATTTTACAGCACTACTGGCGCGAACACGTTGAAATGTTGTGTAAATCGGTCAGATCCTGTCGTCCCATGACCATGTCATTCACGAATACATACAAAGTTCGTTGTTGGATCTAAAATCAATGTTATGTCCCACAAGGGTTTTCCGGTCCCTCGAGGCTAGTTTGAACAGGAATGAGGTCGGCGAAGCAGCGGACACTGGTTCTGTTGAAGGTAGTAGTAGCATCGATGCTCCGACCGTTGCCCATTTCGAGAACCTCAGTACCTATCAAGAGGAGATTCTAAGGGCTTTGATATGTCTACGCCGAACATTGACCAGCTCGCCGTGGTGTTTAGATGCTCCCAGGAAAAAGCAGCAGACTCAAATGTAGTAGAGAAACTTAAGCCGGAGGCATACTCGAATGAACATGAATGTTTCTTCCCTTTTAACTTTTCATCTTCGCGGTTTGCCGCCTGGAGGCGCAGCTTGTGGACTACCGTATGACTCTCACGGGGAAATGTTCGACGGCCAGGATGGCCTGGGCTTCACAGAGGTTATTTGTTACCTAGTTAGTCCACTGTCTCAAGGTAGGCCCATAGAATTTCGTATCCTTAGCGTTAGAATCATCAGGGAGTCGTAGCTTTTGGAAGTATATCACAAGTCATATGTAGCTTCATTGACAAACATAGCGCAAATAAATGGAGAAGACTTGAATTTCTTCAGTGTGGAAGCTGAGATATTCTATCTACAGCGTGGAAGGCAAGAAAAAATTCAGAACTCGAAAGAAACAGGAGCTATCTTGGAACTGCGTCCACAAAGTCAATGTCTGCTTCTCATCATCACCATCTTGCTTCGTTTACTAATATGGTCATCGTTGTTGTCGTCGTCACCGTCTTGGTCTGCTATGATATCTCGTAGCATCATCTCTACTATGGCTGTGATATTCAATATCGTTATCATCATAATCGAAGATGTTATTGCCGTGGTCTTTTCCCTTGATTCGCTGTCCTCTTAGACATTGTCCCCCATCTCACCTGTACCACTTAGAGACAGCCAGATTATCAACATCAGCCCATCTCCATCCTGCTTTTTCATTCAAACCCAAATACCTGCACTTCGCCCTCCACATCAAGTACTCATCCAGTAGACCGCCGGTATGCGGCATCAAGTCTGTTCAACACCAGAATCACCACACTCATCACTCTTTGCGGACCTCAAAAGTACCCCAGAGAGCTTACCAACCAATAATCCAACTTATACG